AGAATTCGATTAACAAATGCAAAAAGACGTTTTGTAGGAACTGCGTTTAAATAGAAATGCATCTAGATCGATTGATTGTGTTGTTCTAAAGGCGTGTTAGATAAGTAGATAGAAGCTCGGAAAACAATCGGATCACCGATGTGTACTTCGAATTAATATTCAACATAGAACAACACGTGTAAGGGTCATCAAAATAGTACAATCACGGAATAAACACCATCCGAATTCAACATACAGTAGAGTTCAATAACTTCATATACGGAGAAAAGGTGTGACATAGAAGCGGCTGGCACAACCGTGACTTCCTCCTTCCCGCTTATTCGGAATTTAAATCGACCTATCGCCATCCCGAAGTGTCCCGAAGTCCACCGAAGTTGCACGACAATAACTCTTATTGTCCGCATAATAAGATGGCTGTGTTTGTAACGGTGGGCGGCGCATATTATAAGCTATTTGATTGATATGTCGGGGACGTCGCACAGTACCGCTGCTTTCTTCAACACTCCAATGAGCCTCAACGGTACTGAATTACACCATGTAGTATCTCCAAGCCGTCATTTATGGTGTCGCCATCGGCAATTACCTGACCATACGGGTATGCTTTCGCAACTGTTGTTTTGCTGTTAAATTAGAGTATTTTGCACGTTATTGTCGTCTAGTTAGACTTTCCTAGCGGTAAAGGTAAGTTTGTCTGTGACAACTGAGACTGCTATTGTCTAGAAATTGATAATGTGGTGCGCGGACGTTCATTTCGTACGTTTGTTAGCGTTGTACCCGTTTCGGATCTCGGGGGGAAACTTAATTATGGGTTTATGCAATTGGTACGGTCATTTTCGTTGAGATACTTTCTACTATTTGTCAAACCAATTTGTTATTGGTAAACTGTCGTGGATTATTCACTAAAGAGACGAATTCAAAGATATCAATCGCTTACGAATTTTGTTATTTATCACTAAAGAGGTTCCATAGAGTATTAAATCAACAAAACAAAACTTACACCTCATCATCAATCTATGGTCGTACTGTTTATGGTTTTAAGATGGCGTCCTGATTAATGCAAGTCAGGAGCGTGCCTTCCGCAGTAACGGTGCAGTTATGATGCCACACTCATGTCTGCCTTCAATACTTTATAGGACGCTGTAGTTCTCTTGGTTACTGGGACGGTTGCTAGATCCTGGTTTAGGCAGACTTTCATACAAGTTCCAATAAATAGACTGAATACGAAATTGGTTGCATTGAAAAAAAAAGATTTTGATAGCTGATGTTCTTTTTTTGAATTTGGAAAAGAAAGAATGTCAACATTTGTTTTTTTTACGTTTTGTTAGCTTCTAGGTAGTATGGCATATGGGTAATTTAGTATTTAAGATAATATATATCTATCTCATAAAAGTCTTTTTCTATGGTATTCCTAAATATGGAAAGTCCCACCATTATGAATTACCTTTGTTTTGATAGCAGAGGAAATAGCGATTTAATTACTTATGCATGTTATTAGATCGAGCAAGGTATCATATTCATCATTAATGTGTTTATTAATATCAAGACTTTAAGCAAACGTGTATTTTTCGATGAAAATAGTAATATTCGGCGTAATTTGTAGTTTTATGAACGAATTATGTTTATGTTAGTAGAATGTGGCTCGTATTACGGAGTATCTTGTTTCAATGCCTACGCGAAGACGTATTTTAGCGGTTGAAGATTAGAAGTTGATCCAATTATTGTGGTACCTAACAAATATCGTTGCGCTTCTGTTTTTGTTTAGGTAATCAGTGGAATTTTACTCAGTAACATACGTTCGGGACGTTATTCAATCATGTTCTAGACTTTGAGTATTTTTTACAAGTGTTTATCACCATTATCGTGGGGGTTTCCTTTACCAGTATTTACCTACGTTGTAAACCTTTCCTTCATGTACTGTTTATGTACAGTCACACTTACAACTATCCCTCTATTACTAAGCACTTATCTCAAGAGCACTTCAACCAACAAAGATCCTATTGTATGTACCAAAATGACGTCATCGAACAAAACGAAATCTCGATCCGAAATCGATCAATCGCACGCCCAAAAATGGTTTCCACTCGATCGGTCGCTTTCTCTGAACGGAAAAGCGTCCCAATTAGGCGCATACGCAAGTCGAGGGGTAGAGGGGGGAGTTGACGGTAGAGATGTGAATAATTGAATGTTAATTCGTTTAGGGCCCGAGAGATGGCAGGACCGTCGACCCGGTGTTCGTGATCTGAGTTACAAGTAACGCCACATATTTCTTGAAGAGTGCTTTGACACTGAGTTAGTTTAGGTAGCTAGTTGATTGATGGGTAGACAGAGACGCGACTGTATGTAGATTACTTTAATCGCGTTTTGAAAACGAAAATATTAAACCTTAAGCTTCAATGGTGCTGTCAAGCGAATATTTTACGGGATAAAAAAGACACACTAGCAAATAATTAACATATTAATTGTAGTTACTACATGTTATCGTCTATTTATTGTTACGACGCGACGGATCCACAATCATAAAGTAGCGAATTTATTTCAATTACAATAGATTTTACATACACGTGTATCCTTATTGATTTAATTAAGAGTTATACAGATGTTCCAATGACGTATTTCTTCTTAAGTTGCGTTTAAAATCATGACATGCTTCTGATAAAAAGAAAGACGTATTAATTTGTTCAGCTGTTTTAAGATTGACTTTTATAGATTCTGATTCAAGTCGTAAATAAAAATTGTGATTTATACCGATCTTCCAGAATGATCTACTTTATATGTATTTTAGAACAATGCCTTATTATTATTCTTAAGTATTGGGGCTGTATACTCTGTTAATTTATCCAGCCAGCGACTTTATCAATTCCTTTTTTGAAATTGAATTGGCTACCAGCCAGATTGCGTTCGTTTGTTGAAGATTATCTATGATTTGCTGTCAAAAATCGAAAGAGGTTTTAATCTAACTGTGAGAGGTCGAAAATAAACACAAAAATTGTAACGAGGCTCAATGGGTTCGTCATTATTTGCCGTTTTGTATTTACAAACAGCAATTAGGGCCGGAAGACGACGTAAATGGGTTATCTGATAAAGTACCGTTGGAGCTACACCTCGGGCAGACGTCGTAATCGGTCATAGGACATCGAGAGCACCTAAAATGTTTAATGAGACGTTTGACAGTTGATAAATGTCATTTGCATTTGACTGATAACAGTAGCTGGTTGGAATGAATGTTTTAAAAAGTTTTAAAGCGAAGCGAATGGAAAACATTTTAATTGTTTTTTTTTAATGACTTAGGATGCGGCACGTGTATCACAAGAATCGATTAATTGGAAATGTATGTCATGTGATGTATCGATTCAGAATTTCCTTTAAAAATGATTGGCTCGATTTAAACGGAAAAGGAAGTAGATTAGTAAATCTAATCTCCTATGACGATTTACTAACATTTCAACGAAATGATTTTTTCTATGAGTCAGTTTAGTTCCAATATTGATCTTACTTAAAAGAGTTTAAATGTTCTACTTTCTTTATCTGAACCTTGATTTTTACTAATTTGGAAAACCATATTTTAACTTTGTAACAAATTGGCACCATTAAAGACAATATTAATAAATGTTTAGCTTTAAAACAAAGCCATAAGACAAAAGATTAATTCTAGTGGACATTGTTGTTATAACGAGAGGAAAGCTTCATACATCTATAAGCACTTATAAAAATTAAACAAAATGGTTGACGCAATAAAAGCTATATGTATAAGACAGCCATTGTTTCTTAACCATAACTCAAAACTATCTGGACTTGTTGAATAGAAAATGTAATAAAACCTCATTTTACTTAACTCCGTGTACTCCAAGGTCCAGGCCAGGCCATCTCTGAACCAAACACCAATAGATTTACAACGTTATGCTTTTGATAATAGAATTGAAAATCTCAGAAATGTGACAAGATCTGAAAACCTATATAAGGTAACCTAGATGCTTGATGTAGAATAAACATTAAATTAAAAGATTTGCAACTTTATTCTTTTGAAAATAGAATTGAAAATCTCAGAAACGTGTCAAGATCTGGGAAGCTTGCACCTAATGTTACCGTTCATCATGACATGAATGGCCTTAAGATGATATTGACACAAGTGTGTGACAGACAAAAGGATGTAAAGGATCTTCAGAGATTGTTGTCACGGCTGAGCAAACCGAATTCCATGTCTCAATGAAGTGTCTGACTAATGAGATATTTGACTTACGAAACTTTGCCTTGGTCCCTTTAAAATCTTCGTTTAAACAGTAGGTGTCTTGAAGTACCGCGCTAGGAATGTAAAGGACAGCTGATGTTGATTTGATCGACGTGTTTTGGTATCTGATTTAGTTTTGTGTTATCGACATTTAATAAGATTGTTAGAAATGATGTCATTATTGATTAGCTATCCGTTGAGAGTTAAGTATGTTGAATCTTTTCTTTTAAATGTGTTGCGAATCGCCCTGCGTGTTCTTGTAGTGTCCTCTAAATACCGTAAATGTTATTCGAAATGACAATAGATACACCTGTGATGGCACGCCACAGATAAGAAATATACCAAGTTTAATTACTTCTATTTGAAGTATCAATAAAATAGACTGTAAAATTCTCTTGGCTAGGTTATTTTGCATAACTATAATGAAGAATCCAGGCGATACGTCGCTGAATACCGGATGCCAAGTCATAAACATTATCAGCTGTTCTAAAACGTTGTAATAAAATATGAGGGTAGTCGTATAAATGCTCGGGTGTCGGGTACCGCGCGTGCGCGCCATCAGTCGTCAGGTTGCTGTCATTGAGTACACTAGCAATTAGCATCTTGTTGCGCCGGAGATGCGGACGGCTATGAATGTGGTCACAAAATCTTAATCATTATCGCCATTTAAAATGAGTCGATTACTTTTTGTGATGTACGCTGACTTGATAAAATGTTTATCGATGAATGATTATGCGGAATAATTGAAAAACATGTAGATATTGTAGATACTTACGTTGGGAAGATGGCGGCTCAGCCGCGGGGGGCGCGGGGGCGCTGGCAGCACCCTGCATGGCCCGCGACGGACGACCACGCCTACGCCTGTGATAACGAAAAATATACTATTATAAATGCCTAAATACTTAAGATTACAACAGCAAACCACGAAGAAATCATACATTTTCTGAAGACATTTTGTCAAACAGAGCTTTCCCAATACAGTGACCATATTATAACGCTATATAGGAATTTTTCAATGAAAATGACAAAGTCAAAACCAAAAATGAGTCAAAGAAAGCGTAAATGATGCAATTTCATAATTTTTATCGGCATTCGGATCGAATTAAAAAATTGCATTAAGTGTACTTGTCAGGACGTGTGTAATCGATACAATTTCTTGGCATGACATCGCCGTACCTAACTTTACAACAATGATCTTTGTTTCCTTTAATATAAAGATAATCTTTATCTACTAAAGTACACGTATCAATCTTTACTTTGGTACTATCCAATATTGATACTTATGACCAATTGTGGCCAGTCTTAGAAACCATTTGTCAATAGATTTAGCTATTACCGAGAGACAGAATTCGGTACACATTGTGCCGATCCCAAGTATTTAACTATTAGATCAGAATGACGATGATGATGGTATCTGTATGTCTAAAGGACTGATCGACACTAGAGGACTGACAGACAGACGGAATAATATTTTTTAATATTTGTATAGGTATTTTGTTTTGTACTTCAAAAGTGCCGTCCAGGGGGCTTACTCTTGAATCCAATCCAATGAGTTGCAATACTAGCGCCCATTGCATCCGTATTGCGTGGATATCGAATGAACTAAATGGTATTGAGTTTGTCTTTATATTCCGTACTCTGAATGCTACTTTAACAGCTACGATAGGGGTTGTATAGTTTTGACATTAAATTATTTTTGTGATTTTATTGGATTGAAACTGCATTGACATTGAGATTGGTTTCAAGAGTAAGCACCCTGGTCTAATTGATATAAATGATTTTGATTTTTAGTTTGACTAAACTGTTTTACTGGGAAACTCGACTAGTTTCAAGAAACGCTAAGAGCTCATAATCATAAGTTCACAGTTACGTGAAAAAGCAACGTAATTAATTTATCTTAGCATAGTTATAATACAATTTAAAAAGTCTTTGTAAGTGAAACAAATTGTCTTTTGAAAACAGGTTTGTGACGAAATGACAAAGAGTATTGAGTCATTTGCTATCAATGGCTTCCTGTAGCACTTGACGCTAATCATCGATCGGTGAGGAATGAGGGTACCTAATCTACGTGCACATATCTGCTCGGTAATAGGGACACACCTTTTACGGTATTGGTGAAGACTGTTACATTAAAATATTAAACACAGGATCATAAGTAGGTTTATGATCCTGTGTTTAATATTTTAATGTTTTCTTGCTGTAGTTGTGGTGTATTTATCTATGTTGGTAAAGGTATTCAATAACTAAAAAATATAGTAAATTGTATTATCAAATAAACATAACATTCAATTTATGCTGAATTGCAAGCGCAAACATTTGCCAGCGCATGTTATTTCAGCAAAGTTTTATATTCCACAAATTGCCTAATCACGTTATTGTTCCAAAAGTAAACCGCTGTTTAATCCAGAATAAATCCAGAAATTGTTTGTAAATCTCACCCGTATAATGAATTGAAAGTCCTGCGATCCATAATCATAGTTAATAAGAACCACAGATGAACAGGTCACTACAAAATATTTCCACAATAAAATTATCACTGCTACATACTGAGATACAACACACAACATATATGCTCGGATATCTCTTATAAAATAATGATCCATTTTATTTATTACACTGAAAAAGATAAAAAAGATCTAAGCCACGATTGTTCACAAGCATATTTTGGTTAAATCATCTGGAAAGTCCCTGCAGATAACAATAGATACGGCATTCAATAAAAAAACTCGATATTTATATTATTAATCAATATAATAAGATAATGAATACACATGACTTTTTATCGGAATAATAATAATTTAAATCAGTGTCTAAATGTCGCGTCAGGGAGATATAGCAGTCTTCTTTTTTATGAATTCGTGGTCACTGTACTGTCAGTCGGGTAGTTCGGTGCGCATGCGCGTCTCGCCGTTTATTATAAACCAGACAATGTATGCTAATAACCCAATCGAATGGCACGCCACTTATGTTACGGCGATTGTAGTAAATTAAGTTATTTTTAGTTTTGTACTTAACAATTGAATGTGAACTTAATCGTAGACGTTGAGCCCTTTTGCAGTAACGACTTTAATAACATTGCAGTCAAGTATATATATCTTATATTATATCTTACTCAGAAAAATAATTACCTAATCTAGAAAGTAATCGGCCAAAATAAAAATGATCCATTCATATAATATTTCATTGTCAAAAAATCGAGATATAAGTAGATAAAGCGACATCAAACCGGTTTAAACCGATTCCTTTCTGTTACAATTACAATTTCTTTCACAAACACATACACGCGTCGTCATCAAAAAATGTGCATCAAAACGTGTCCCATTATTTTATCTGCGCAGCAGTGTTGCCCTACTCCGTTCACCAGTTCTGCGCACGCGCGTCTGACCTATTATAGCCCAGACAATACGAACTGGTAACCCACGAGTGGTATGCGACTTGTTATGTATTACCTCCTTGCCTCTACTGGTTACTTAATGTACTGGTAGCGTTATGCTATATTCACTTATTAGGAAAACTTGATTCAGATTATATATGTAGGTACCTGATTTTAGCTAAAAATAAGCATAAGAATAATTTTCATTTCTCAAAAACAAAGTACTTATATATTATTATATATTAATTCCATAACAAATGATGATTTTATAATAAGTATTACCATGTATGTATTACCATACCATGTATTTAAAGTAAAATGTATTTATGTTGTTTTTAAAAAGTGATCAGGCTGTATGCATAGTGTAAGGGCGCGCAACCTGCGTCTGATAAAAAAAAAACAGATTTCTTTATAATTTGTGGTGATGATTCACTTCTTAAACTGCCGCTTTAGGAAGTCTTTTGTGCCATTTCGCGAAATGAATCTAGAATTATTCAGGTCATAATTTCATAGAAAGATAAAGACGATTTTGAACAGTTTTAGCAAAGAAATCATACAATTTCAACTCAACAGTAGCAAGCTAACATAAAAACGCTGATTACTAAAATCGAAAGAGTAATAAAAGGGCTTTTGTTCCTCCAACACAATATCTTAGAATTTGCAACGATCGCCGCGGGAAATGGCTTCTATCTTGGAATTCTCAGCTTTCTTCATATAACGCTAAATGTACTGAAAATGATGCTCATCGGCGCGTTTGATGGTGATTAGGATTACAGTTTACTTGGAAACGTAATACAATATAATATACCTAAGTACGTACGTAACTTATCTTGGTCGGCGTACTTTGAACGTGGGCTCGTGTGTACGTGGTACATAATTATGTGTTTGAACTAATTCTCAGTTTTACTCATCAATGCATTTTGTAATTTATATTGAATGTTTTTGCTACCTGCGTTGTTTATCACCTCTTTTACTAGACCAAATTCAGAATGGTATTTTTTTGAGGTTTAATTGTCTGTGACAAAATACTTAAAGGACTGGCTGGTTTTTTGGTGATAAAAGACAATGATATCTTTTTACTTTTATTTCTATGCCACGGCATTATTATTAGTACCGTGTCTACTTATTTATGTAAAAATACCACGATAAAAACAAGAAGCCATAAATTATTATGTTTTTTTTTGCAAAATAAATCTGCACTTGTCTACGGGAATAAATGAGATATTTCATTTGATTTCTAATTAGCGAGCGTCTACATTTTTCCATAAACTTTAATTTTTTTTTATTTACTCGCACAAAACAAACTTTTTCGACGGCGCTAAGAATTTTTAAAGGTTATTCTCAAAGAATTGCGCGCAAATATCTTGCGAAATAAAATCAATTTACAACTGACACGATATGGACATCAAACATATTATTTCAATATTTATTACTCAAAATTAAATCGTTTCTAATATTTTTCATGGTTTTTACCATTAAGAATCGTAATAAAATAAAGTACCTATTGATTCTGTTATCACGAGTCGCAAGGATTTCTTCATTATCAGTTGGTAGACGTGATCCGATGACTGGTTCTAATCTCTAACTATTGTTAACTAATTATTACGTATGTTTTGTCAAGTATATTGTGTACCTACTACGAAGGGAAGGTGATATGTATCACGTATTGATGCATTATGAAACCTTTTTAGACGTTTCCTAAACGAAAAAGAAAGAAATGGAACTTCGGTTTGTATTTTCATTTATGAGCCGTCAGCGTGGTCTTTTTGTTATTTTCTTGGCTTCAAATTACTAGTAGTTATTTAGTAAGTGAATAATATGAAATAATAACATGTATTAGGAGATGAGCACCAGAGATTCTGTGTGAAACCACATGGCGCATCTAACTACCGCATTGCGTACTCTTTTGTTATTGAGACATTGGTTTTAAGAAGAATTTTAACGTAATTATGTGCTAAGAACAATTAGATATTGTAGCGAAGAAGCTTTTAAAAAGGTGTCAAGTATTTAGGACTTAGACACACTTAAAGTATAGATAAGACTGCTAACGGTTCATCTATCTCTAACGAAAACTGATATAGATAAAAAAACACCTTCTGTCACAATCATATAGAAATACACGACAATTACCAGATAAGGGCAGTTGAAATGTTTTTCGAATGAGCTATCAGTTGGTCCGTGACAAAGTTATAACATCTTGACTGCAAGAGGCTGGTTGTCGCAATCTGCCAATTACGGTAGATGATGATAAACACTTGTTCGATAGTGGTTGCTGCAATGCTTTGCGCACGAGTGCGATTTGTAAGTGACTTGTGTTGCGTTTTTTTTGTCGTTTGTGTAGAACTTATTATACCTACGATAAAAGTCATAGAGAGACGCCGGCCGTTTTACGCCGGCGGATCTGAAAGTTACTCACGGAGACATATTTCAGAAAAGGATATTTTTTCGGCAATGGTAGTG